ATAAATTTATAGTCATTAAAACAAAGAGTGAAGTGAAATAAACAGTAAGATGCCGATGTCTATGTATGTATGTAAGATGCAGATTGTTTAAAAATGCAAATTGAAAATCTTTCATCACATACAACGAATTTAAGTAATACTAAATTATAATAATCGTTAGCAAAAAAAAATTTATCAATATACAGTGTAGTCCGAATTGTATTCAGGAAACTTCGCCAGCAAATTTGGCCGAGAAAAGTAAGTAAAAAAGTTCGTATAAATGTATGTCCTAAAATATTTAGTTTTTTCGACGTTAGTTTAAAAGCTATTTCGAAAAAATCAAAATAAAATTTAATCTTCTACACCCTGTATCTCCGAAACAAAACATTTTAAGACATAAATTGATTTTAGTTATTTTTGTCTGCAGAATATGTTGTCGAAGTTTTCCGAATACATTTCGGACCACTCTGTATAAAATTCATATTCTTGTATGAGCCGAAATTATTTACCCATTTAATAATATAGCTTAAGTATTTAATGCATGATATTTCTATTTAATTAATATTTATTATTTTAGTTATACTTTAGTGCACTTTTATCAGCTACTAAAAGAATGGGATATTTACTAAACAAAAATAATAATAGAGCTTGCTCTATTACTCTAATAACTACCTCGACGTTTATTAAATCTGTTCAAGACTAAACTTCCACAGTAACTCTCGAGTTGGAGCTAATAAGAGTCCATGTTAACAAGGTCTATACCAAAGTCCAGATACAAGTAATGCCGATTAACACAATAAGGTCAGAACTTTGGGTTAACAAAGTGATTTATGCATTAAAATATTACATAATACTAATTTATTTAATTAAAATAAAATGATTATTTTTATTAACAACAATACTCTATGAAATTATTGTAAAGAATGCCGACTAAGCTGATTCATAGGAAATTCGTTAAGGTGGGTACAGATTCAGCGAACGAAGGCAAACGAATGATTGCGATCGAATTCGTTTGGATTATGTGTACGTACGATATCATCGTTGATTGAAGAAATAAGACGATAAGCAACCATATAGGCGATTTTGTGGAACAAAACCTGTCCGAGATGTAGCTGGCGTTACCGGCAGCCTATCCGATATTTATGTCTGAGTTTTAGATCTGCGCCGCTGCGCGCTGATAGTCGTTTACAGCGCAGCGGATAAAGAATACTGTACTGTAGTTCTGTTTAGAATCGATGAAGTGTGGTTGCCGGAGGCAGTGTTGCCAGAACTACTGATTAATCCGTAGATTTATGGATTAATCAGAAAAATTCGACCAAATCTCTTGGACCAAATTCGTTCACCTTCATTCTTAAGACTTTACAATCGTTTTATAAAATAATTTATTCCATTTCTAGTTATTACTAGTGAATTCCATATATTAGTTTTCAACGAATAGTAATATACGTAGAATTATTTGTGAAATCTTTTCATTTGAAAAAAACAGTTAGGTACATAGTAACTCTTGTTGCTACTATAATATAACTATATTAATATACAGTCCACATAGATATACAGTTGTTAGCACATAAACAATATCTGCTAAGTTATGTATAGTTCTATGAACGAATGAAAATATATGGCACATTATTTTAACAAGATATAGATCTGAACGTAGAAGTATGGGAGTGCTTCTAACTTCTCATCGTTTAGACAGATCTCTCTCTCCAATCGTTCCTCATATCTGATGGTCGTGACTTCTATGAAAATACTTTTTGTTTTATAAGATCTGTCCAGGCTAATCTGTCTTCAGCTCGATGGATAGCTGAGTGTAGGGGTATACCCGTTGTTTGTCTTACTTGATCGATACTTGACCTCTACATCTTTTTTTCTGGACATCACTAGTTATAATAATTTTTCCATGTTGTTGGCAGGTCTTCGAGCAATGTGTCCAAAGTACTCGAGGATACGTTTCAGATAGATTGCCGACAGCCGGGTGCTTATGTTGAGCTCATTAATTATTGATAGATTAGTTCTTCTAGCTCTTTAAGGTATTCTCAGCATACGTCTGTAGCACCACATTTGAAAGCTGTCTATCATGCGCCGTTCCAATGCTTTGATGGTCCAGGATTCCACTCCATAAAGAAATATTGAGAAGACAGTTTGCTATCCTAGATAAACAAAATCATGAACCTCTTCGATACCATTAAGCTGGAAAGATTTTTGTAGGGTTTTTCCTCTGTCCACGAACATTAATTTAGTTTTTTGGCGGTTGATAGTCCCATCTCAGCACTTTCATTTTCCACTCGCAGCAGTAGACTCGCCATTTCTTCTTCACTGGTCGCAATTAGTGCTGTGTCGTCTGCAAATCGCAAGTTATTGATTTTAGCTCCTCCCACACTGATACCTCCATCCCAGTCTTCCAGAGCTCTCCGCATAATATTTTCCATATATATATTAAAGAGCATGTGTGAGAGTATACACCCCTGTCGGACGCCTTTATGTATTTGAAAAGGTTCAGACATGTGTTCATTCACTTTTACCATTGCTGTGTTATTGGTATATAAGCTCTCGATCAATGCTACAAGATGTTCTGGTATCCCCATTTCTCTTAAAATCCTCCAGAGCTTTATCCATTTGACGCAATTAAATGCTTTGATGTAGTCAACAAAGTAAATGACAGCTGTTACATTAGACAGATAGTTGGGTCTAAAGATAGATAGCCGTGTCATTCTTGAACAGTATGTATTAAACCGACAAGAAAAGTTAACATATGCTTGTTTTATTGATATACTACCGGTCTGAGGGCAATAAACTATTAAGTGTAAAAGCACAGGTTATTGGGTGGTAAGAGTGCCAGTCTAATACAATTATTAAATATTGTTTATTTGAAAATGGTAAACGACGGTTTGTAAATTATGAAATAAAATATCTTCTTCGTCTGGCATTGTCTTTGATTCGAAAGTTTTCATTTGTGCACACTTGTCATCACAAATGTTTATGAAGTAAAAACTAAACTTACACCACTAAGGCTAGTCTTTGAATGCTAGCTGAGATCACTTACTCATTTTAATAAATCTACTTATAAAATCACTATACCAACAACTCTTCTCCAGCAACCCTTATTTGTTTCCGCCGAAAAACTGACGTTTTACGTATACCTTGTTAGAAAAATACTCTGATACAACAATTTTCTATTCTGAATGAAAAATAAAACAAATTAAAAAAAATATAAAACAATAGATAATGTTTATGCATTTGTTTGTGGAAAATTAATTTCATGTCTTGTATGCTCTTGAATAGTTTTATTTAGATATTTTGAATAGTTTTTTCTTTGTTCTTTGTATTTTTTTTTGCTTCTGACAACGGGAGGAGATATACCTATTAAACTTTAAGCATTTTATATTGGTTAAGAAAATTTGTTTTCCTAGTAAAAATCAACTAACAAGCTGGTTTCCATTTGTATTTTACGCATTGGTGTTTAGAAAAAATAACTGTTTTATTTTAAATATTCCCTTCCAGTGATGAAAAGCCCAGAATCCTTTTAAAGAGAAGAGAGTGAATGCTCAAAACAGATTTCTTATTACGGAAACGCATATTAGAAATTTATTGAAGTAAAACGAGAAAAGGGATGCGTATCTGTTATTGCTCTGATTAACCTAAATTTATCAAAGCATTATCTGTGGATACATAAATATTATCTATTTCCGAACATTTCGAAGAGACGATTTACTAAAATCTTATCTAATGAATAAACATAACTTTTGCTGACCAATCGTGGTGCAATCAAGATGGGGGCCTAAACCCATGATTGCTAATACAATTCGTCCCTACGTGGGTCAATATTAAACAAGATTTTTGGCGACGAAAGCAAATATTCTTGATTTAGCTTTTATGTGTGACCCCAGGGTCCAAAAAGAGAGAAACGAGGGCGACATTTCGGGGCATATTGGGAAGGAAGGCTAATCCGCACGACAAATACAAGGTTGCAGATATAAGGGAAAATTGAATAATACGGAATTTCAGCTTTGCTCTGCTTTGTTTACTTATTTGAGATATTATTGTGAAGAAAGACGCAATAATGACGCTATTTTAATAATGAAAAGCAAAAATAGTTTAATCATCTTATTGATATAATTTGAATAAGTACTGATAGTAAGAAGTTTTTGTAATAGGATTATGTTTTCTGGATCCAAATTAGAAAATTATATTTGCCTTTATTTAATGACACATCATTAAAACTTCAACAGTAAAATGGATAAATCTGTAAAACAGAATTGAAGTAAGTACTCTTGCTTTAGTCAGAATTTTCAGGACTTTTTTGGCTTTTGGCGACGAAGTATACCGGGTGCGTCTTAAAAGTGGCTCACCCCTATAACTTTTTTATTTAATTTTTTAGCTTCCATTCCTGATGAAGTCAATAAAGAATTGACGAAATATCGAGATATTAAAGCAAATTAGTTTTAATAACTAGCTGCATACCTGGTAAAATATTAATATATTACTAAAGTATTTTCTACTAGTCTTTTCAATATGTAACTATACAGACAGAAGTCTTAACAAAAAGATATTAAAAAAATGTACTAAAGTTCTTGCTGAAATAGGGTTAAAGCTTAGTTCATTTAAACTTAGATTTCAGTCGATGTTTCTGGTACAAGGTCGTATAATCCGAAGGAGTTTTCCTATAATTACATGTATTCGAAACAAAAGGGCTAAAATCTAACTCGCTCTAAGTTAGTTTTCAGTTAGATGAACAATATTCCTAAGCCGGAAGCGGTGTAAATTAAACAAACAACATTTGCATGTTCGGAGCTATAATTAAACAAGGTATTCGCGAGGTATGAAATTATTCAGTTACCCATATTTTTTTCTAACGTTTCAATTTAACTAAATCAGGGTTATTTGTAGAGTTTTCGAGGAAGCCTAGCTTCTAATTAGTGGAGAAATTAATTTAGATGTCAGTTATTAACCGTTAAACTGTAGGTTCATGCCTTGTTTATATAGTGAATAATTCTATGTTTTCATCTTTTGTACGCCTCGAGACGTCAGAGAAGGTGTAGAAAAAAAATAAGCATGAAAATAACCTGTTTGGTTCTATTTTTTTGTGTCGCTTTATGGTCAGATAATGTTTTATGTCGAGTATGAAATTTTTTAAAAAAATTATTGATATTTGGTAAAAGAAATGTTTTATTTTAGATGACAGAAAAACAGTTAACTGCAGCTGTCAAACTCGTGAGGAATATGTGTGCGGGAAAAACCAAAGCTACTGCTGGTAAATAATGTAAGTTAGTGTGGCTTACGCTGTAACTTAATAGATACAATTTTAGAGGATATTGATAAAATGCATGTTGGAGACTGGGATGTGGATCACAACGCAATGGTAAGAATTTGTAAAGTTTTATTTATATTAACCTATTCCCATATTTAATTATAATTTTTTCTATATGGTAAGCCAGTATATGGGAAAAGCTCCACGTCAGTTTTTCTATTTCAAATTGTCATTCCAGCCTTATTTATAAAATATGCGAGAAATAGTAGCACATATTTTTCAAAATATTTTTATTGATACTCAGTTCAAAAAATAAACGTTTTCTTCAAAAATAAACATACTAAAACAGACAAATTTGTTTGATCTATACATAGTAAGACAAAATAAGAAGTGATAATTTTTCCCGCTAATTTAAATATTACAAACTGTTTATCACGTCATAAATCAACACGATTTTTATCAAACATTTTGCTTAATTAAGCATTAACCAGATAAAAAATGTAATAAACTGCTAACAAAAATAAAGCTTTTTCGGATAACTTGGTGACGCTATAATTGAAAAGTACAACTTACCTATATTTACACTTAGTCTTATATTTCATCATCATCATCATCGTTATGTCCAGCTTATTCAACATTTCCAATTATGATGTATTATTACTTATTGGGGGGAGCATCCCCCCCAACGCCCCCAATAGCTTCACAACTGTCGTTAATATTTGGTAAATTCAGTTTGAGACCTGCTTTATTACTGGTTGTATTTAGTTCGTTGATTTGTGTTAGTAGTTATTGATTACTATTGGCAATTAAGTCTATGTCATTATCGAATCTTAGATCGTTAAAGTATTCTCTATCTATTTTTTCAATCTTTTGTTGGTCTAGTCTAGTTTATGGACAATTTCTTTTAGTGCTGCTGTAAACAGCTTTGACGTTACCGCATCTCCCTGTCTTTGTATATATTCGTAAGATTTTCTCTATAAGGCCTATATGTACCTTGTTATACAGCTGCTTATATGTTTATTTTTACCAAACCAAACCAAACCAAACTACACCGTTTTAGTTATTGTGATAATATTTTATGATGAATGATATGATTAATATTTTCTAATTATTTTATCCTTTTTAGTGTTACATGTACTGTGGTTTAAACATGTATAAATTGGTAAGTAATACATTAAAAATATTAAGCAATATTTAATCAGTTTCGGCCAATTTGAAGATAGATAAAGACAACAAATTTGACAGAAAATCTGCAGAAGCCCAATTGGCCCAGTTGCCGGCTAGTATGCACGAATATGTCAATAAGTGTATGGATCAATGCGAAAATGCCGGTAAATATTTTTATATGCACTCAGATGCAAAGAAATGCGACGGACAATTTATTAAAAGTTCTGTGTGGACGGACAATTTTTTAAAAGTGCATCTGTTGACATGAGTCAAGAAAAGAAAAAAGAATTGTGAAGGAGACATGGCTCTGACCGAAAAATAATGTTTTAGGAAAATTTACTCACGAAATTATTGCACAGGGGGTTTTAAAGATAGGACAATAAACAACTCTTCGATTAATCCTGTAACTTAAATACTAAAGTTTATAATAATCTGAGTTTACGAATTAAAGTTAATATATTTATATACAGTTTGCTAAAAAATCAAGGAAATAAATAAAAATAAAAAATCGCTTTCCACTAGACCAAAAAAAGTCCGTTGCGGTTTTTTTTGCATCCGAGTGTATATTAAGACGTTTTTTTAATAACTCACAGGTTATAGTTTAAATTAAAAGTATATTAAAAGAAGAGCACTAAAAAAAAACTTGTAGGATTTGTTTTGGATTGACTTTGCATTAGAAAATAAAGGACATAATTTTAGATTTACTTTAATGATTTAATTGTATTTTTCAGCCACAAGTTTTGACGATAAATGTCACTCGGCTTGGGAATATTCTAAGTGCATGTATTTCTGCGATCCCGAAGTAAGGAGTCATTATATTATACTCAGAAATATAATTTATTCTAATCCATATTTTTTTAGAAATATTTCCTGCCATAATTCTTCCTATACACCAAAACATACAATAAACAACAAATAAGACCAAAATATCTGGTGAAAATCGACTATTCCAGTTTGCAGAAAAAGGAAATAACCAACATTTTTGCCATTCGCAGCGCATGTATTTTTCTTTTGAAAAACACAAGGAAATAAACAGCCATTAGTTATTTTCCCAGAATGTTTTATTTTTTTACCGAAGGAAATCAATAATTCTTTTGCTTAAAAGTGTATTTTTTACTACAACTAAATGCGATAAAAGATTAAATATAGCTGAATAAAAAAAGTTTCATGAACGTCACTTCTACAGTAATGCATAAATGTAAAAATGTTATACAGGGCGGTCCGAATAGTATTCGAAAACTCCGGCAGCATATTCTCTAGATAAAAATATATAAAAAAGTTCGTAGAAATTTATGTTCTAAAATCGTTTCGGAGATACAGGGTGTAGAAGTTTTATTTTTATTTCGATTTTCTCCAAATAATTTCTGAACTAATCTCGATATTAGGATGAAAACTGGTGTCTGGTGAGTTTTGATATGATAAATTCTATTTTGATATCAATACGGGTCCTACTTCTAACGGACGCCTTACTTTCATATTTTCTAACTGAATTGAAGAGTAATAATTTCTCGTCCGTACGTATATAAATCTACTAGATGAAAAAACATATATTTCCACATTTTTTTACGTAAAAAAAGTCTTTTGGTAGTAATTGCTACGACGAATGGTTCTCGATATATTTGGAATCGAAATAATCAATACATGTCATTAATACAAAAATTAAACATGTTGACTAGGTGCTTACTAGACTGAAATAATAGATTTGGATTTTTTTGTGCCAAAGGTTCAACAGAAACGGTTTTTATATTTTCGTAACTTTATTTAGAAAAAAGTATGATTAATATAAAAAAATAAAATGTTTCCAGTTTCATTATTTCAGTCAAATAAAAATAATTATCTAATGAACATATTTATTTTTTTGTCCATAATTACATGCATTGATAATTTACATTCCAAATATCTTGAGAAGTGTTAGTCTTGACAACTTTTACCAAGAGACTTTTTTAAGTAAAAACGGCGAAAATTTTTCACTCAGTACTTCTATACAGGTACTTCTATACTAAGAGAAATTCCGAGAATATAGTTTGCCTATGTTCTTGTGTTTTATAGACTACAAGAAGGCTTTCGATTGTTTGAGGTGGAAAAGTCTATGGAGGGTTCTGAGCGAAATGGGAGTTCCGAATCAATCTAGTGGCTCTTATTAACAATTTATATGACAATAATACGGCAATTGTCAACCTAGATAACAAAACGTCGGAACTTTTCAAACCTAGAAAAGGGGTACTCCAGGGCTGTATACTGTCACCCAGATTGTTTAATGCCTATGGTGAAGACATCATGAGACGTGCTTTGAAGGGCGAGGAAGGAGGAATCCTAGTCAACGGTAAAATCCTAAACAACCTCAGGTACGCAGACGACACCACCCAGATAACTAAAAGTGAAGAAGAAATGGCCCGGTTGCTAGAAAGAGTTACCATCGAAAGCAATAATCTTGGTGTAGAAATAAACACTGATAAAAACACCAAACCAAAACCAAACTCATGCTGATTGATAGAAGTAGTGCAGTTCGATTACACAACATCCTCCCTAATATAGAAAGAGTAGATCAATTTATATACTTAGGATCTTTAATAACAAATAATGGGGGCTGTGAAGCAGAGATAAGAAGGCGTATAGCAATGGCACGGACGGTTATGATGAGCCTAAGAAAAATAGGGACAGATAGGAACATAACTAAAAACACCAAAAAGACCCTTGTTCGATCTTTGGTGTTCTCCATATTCCTATACGGGTCTGAGTCATGGACCGTCAAGAGCGCTGATAGACACCGTATAGATGCATTTGAGATGTGGTGCTGGAGGAGAATGCTCCGTATCCCATTGACAGGTCGAAGAACGAACCAGTCAATTCTTAATGAACTCGGCATCACAGATCGATTATATCCACCATCTGCCGTAGACGCATCCTGCAATACTTCGGTCATATCACTCGCAGAGGTAAAGACAATCTTAAAAAAATCATAGTACAAGGCAAAGTAGAAGGCCGAAGAGCAAGAGGACGATCACCATCGAGATGGCTTGACCAAATAGCAAATATTAGAGGTCGTCCATTTCAATCAAATCACCAAAATTCACAAAAAATCACCAGCTGCACATAGCTATAATGTCACGATTCTTCAGACATGAAGAGACGACGAAGAAGAAGACTTCTATACAGACAAAAAGTTATGTCTCTTCAGAAGAGTTATATGTAGGTGTATGTTGTCCCCTACAAGTAGGAATCATATTGACATCGAAATCAAATTCCTCATGTAAAAAATACCACTAGACACTAATTTTCATACAAATATTGACTTTAGCTCAGAAAGTATTTCGATAAAATCGAAATAAAAATTCGACACAAACTTCAACAAACTATATCTCCAAAACGAAGCGTTTTAGAACATACATTTATATGAACTTTTTTTACCTTATTTTCATCTGTAAAGTATGCTGCCGAAGACTCCCGATATAATTAGGACCACCCTGTATAATGTCTCTTTTCAGATTTTTATGAAATGTATTTCTGTCGAGGGGTGTCACTATTGGAATTACCTGTACATTTTCTTGGCAGTCTTATGGCAGTCGCCTATAATAATTACATGGCAGTCATAGGCAGTCTTCTTCGTAGTCATTGGCAGTCGCTTGACAGTGAAAGCTAATTTTGGCAGTACGTGTACATTTTTTACCCGAGTGAGACACTCCTCGATTTCTGTATAAATCTTTTTTAAATCACACCGTTCGAACCCATTAACTTTTGCCATCGGGATCTGTTACGCTCTCTGCGAAAAAAGCAAGCAAACAAATAAACAATCGTTATTTTTCCATCGGGATCTCAGTTTCTCCTGGTTTCTCTCTGCTCTTAACGTTAAATAAATACGTAAAAATAAATTCGGACGTTGGCTTCGGTCGCCGCCGCCGTCGACTCCATGAAGCCGTTCCAGTGGAATAAATTACGCCGACCCCTCCTAAACCGTAAATAAACAAAGTATTTTAAAACAAAAGTCCCTAATTCTTTTACGGCTTGATCCCGCAAATCCCCAAAGCTGCATCAACAATGCCGACGTTTTTCGCACAGATGAGATTTTTCGATTTGAGTAAAAAAATGGTTTCGTTAAAGAAATATACAACTGAAGCTGGTGGGTTTGGTGATAAAAATAGAAATTGTTTAGTTTAAGTAGAGTGAATAAGTAAAATTTTTTACAACAGTGTTCCATGTTCAGTCTCTAATATTTCTTTCACACGAAGCCACCTTCATAGCCACTTGGCTTATCAGTTGTGCTCGTTGACCACCAGTGGCTGATACAAATCAGAACACCAAATTAAATTCAGAGAATACCCTAGATATAGTTTAATAATGGATGTCAAGTAACATTACCGACTGTATTGTTAATAATTCAACGACAACGAAGAACGAGACTAAAGAAAAAATTCTGGATATGCGCCCACTTTTATTTGAGAAATATCAAATAGGTCTATTTTGTAATTTTGTTGCTATAGTCTTCTAATTTTCTGTCCCAAATAATTGGTTCTCCTTCAGTGGCATTTATAAAATTCTCAATATTAGAATCAAGACCTTTTTACATAATTAATATTTAAATAATAATCGAGGAGGATACTTTCAAGATGCATTTTAGAATCCTTATTTTCGAATTTTGTCAAACAGAGAAAAACTGCGACGCTTTTTGCGTAGGTACTTGAAAAATGGATAAAAATCCTAAAAATAGTACACGCATATGAGAAAAATCTAGTTATGATGATATCTGAAAACACTAAACAAACTGTTGACTATTCTTTAGACTATTCAAAATATCCTTATGGGTGAGATTTGTCTTTATTTTTCTACTACCACGGTCCGTATCCTCAAGTACGTGATCTCCAGTCGTAGGTCCATTCATTATTTTTGTTATAAAAAATTATTAAAAGGCTATTAAAAGGCCACTTATTTCTGTCTTTCGCCTTTATTCTCCACATGGATGGGTTCTTATCCTTCTCAAGTCCTCTTCTAAATTATTTTTTCATCTGTTTCTCGGTCTATCCCTCCTTCATTTTCCACCTAGTTCACGTCTCATTATCATTATAGGAACTCTTGATTCAGCCATTCTTTCAACGTGTCCCAGCCACATCAATCTTTGCGCTCTTACTACTCCTGTTATACTTGGTGCCCGATATAGTTGCTTTAATTCTTTATTTATTCTTCTAGTCCATATGTTGTCTATCTTCTTTTCTTGATAAATCTCCTCAGTATTTTTCCCTCCTAAATTTCTAGCCTCGGATTTTTCGTTGCATCGAACGTCTACGTTTCACATGCACACAGCACTATTGGTCGTATTCCTGTTTGGTATGTTCTGATTTTTAAGCTTCTAGAGATGTATTCTTCTCTTACTCTTAATAACTTTCTGTAAAGCGCTAACACATCTAATTCCTACCATTATTCTTGTCACAATTCCCTGAGTTACATTCGGTTTCCTTACACACAATATTGCAGAATTTAAAAATAATTTTAAAAATTCTTCTCGAGAAACTGCTGCTTTTAGAAAAAAACTAAGTTCTTCCACTGTATAGTCGACAAATGCAAAGAAATTTAAATCTTCGTTTATTGCTACTTTTATCAATGGGCTTCGAAAGTATACCTACAAACTCCAGCTTCAACACTACAAAAGTACAAAATAAATGTTATCTTGTTGCTTCTACAGTATATTTGATCTTATATTTTATCAGTTTATCACAGCTCCAACGGTCTTACTCTATCAACGTCAATATTTTAACGTTATCTTTTCAGCATGTCTATTATTCGTCTCAAACTCATTAACAATGTGTTCAATTCCGCACTCAATATTAGTGTATAGAGGTAAAAAACCGAAGCTTTTTTGAAGAAATAAATATTGTATTATAGAATTTACATTTATATTTTAAAGTTTTATGAGGCACATATTAGATGAGGAATAATTATTCGATACAAAACTATGCGGGGTCAAGTCGCGCCAAGCCCCCGCCAAGTCGCGCACA